AGATACTGGCGCCGAAGAGCCGACGTTTCTTCCAGAAGGCCTTCGACGTAAGTATGTATCAGCGTTAGTTAGCTGCTGGCAGGCAAAATGTTCAGGCGCTCGCACGCGCGCGCCGCTTGCCCGCAGGCCCGCAGCGGTCATTACCGATGGGGGCGTCCCTTACCGAGATATTGCCACCTCCCCACCCCGTCCCCCGCCCGCGGCGGCGGCCGTTGAGCGGTGAGCGGTGAGGAATTTTAGATATCATACTTACATATAAAGAGGCTGTAATTATGTAAAGAACCATAGGATGCCGGTCAGGCGGTCGGCCGCTCAGTCTACATTCCGCAGCTTTGCAGCAGCGACGCAGGCGGACGAAACCGCAGAGTTCCAGCCGGAGATGGTGGACGTATGCGCTGCAGCGCTGCAGCGTTATGTGTGAGTTGTGAGAGAGCACAATATGCTGTGTGTGTGTGTGTGCCAAGTCCGCAGGAAACCCCAGCGAGAAAAAAAGGTGGAGATGGAGATGATCGTGCAGGAGCGCCAAGCTGCCACTGGACCACTGGCAAGTCGCGATCCTGCCTGCAGGAGGAGGAGTCGCATCCCTCGCACGCCCACAATTCGTGGCAAGAGAGAAACAAATGTTTCACCTCACCGTCGGAGGACTGCCAGGTGAGGCTTTCAGCCAGTCAACAGTGGCAGTGGCTTTATGTACTAGTATTCTTCACATCGGCGTCGTCGAAGCACGCGGCATCCTCGCCGGCCATCCAGGATCGTCTGCATACCTGCTCTACTTATGATATTTACAAAAAGTCGTAGGTATGCACCCCCCAATGTCAGACATCTGTGAATCGATCGTATGTAGGTTTGTATGTCGGTGGTTTCCCCGTCCAGAGGCCGGAGGTCCAATCATATGGTTACTATAGGTCATCCTGATGCGCAAGTTGCAACCAGTATCTGCACACCTATATACTCTACTATCTATGTATACACCTCCCCGCCGAGCTCCAGAGTCTAGAGTAGAGCAGAGTCGGTATGTATGTTTGTAAGATGCATACGCATACCAGCCACGCCAACCATAGTGGACCAATCGCTTCTCGGAACTGTCGGAGTGCAATGCGATGCGCTGCGATGCGATACGATGCATGCGGGGGAGGGGGCGACGTTACACGTCTCGTCTTGTCTGGTGTGGTGTCGGTGTCGGTGTCGGTCAGCAACAGAGCAGAGCAAAAAGCAGCCTACATAGCCGCGCTTCCCATGCCCTTCCCTTTCCGATAGCCGTGGAGATTGCGCTACATACACACACCTACACTGGAACTATGCCATCATAGCCAGTGCCACCTCGTCCTCGATATCCTCTTTGCGAATGTTGCTCCATAGAGGTAGTATGGATCCTGTCTGCCTGCCTGCCCGTCCGTCGATTCGATTCGATCGGACGGACGTCCTGCACAACCCGCTGTCACAGATAGTTACACCCCCCTAAAAACATCTGCTGGCGGGAGAAGCCGACTAACGAATGAGCGCTGGAATCCGATACCTTCAAACTTTACACGAAACCGCACCGTCGTTTCCTCCTCTCCTCTCCTCTCCTCTCCTCTCCTCTCCGCTCGACCATTTGCCCTCCGCTCCCGAGCTCGCACAGGAAAATAAGGCGGAAATATGCAATAACGGGAGTAATATACGTACCTAATGTAATAACATCGAAACGCAAACCTAAAAACAACCCGATACATGGGTGGCCGAGTGACATCTCATGCCTAATGCGGCAACGCGCGCACCGCCAGTAGATACGTTACTCTCGATGGAGTAGAGTACGTAACGTAACATCAAACGGTCGCCGTCATCCATCATTTCAAACATATTCCATTCAGAGATTCTGCCGCCACTTATGCATCCGGTGAGATCCGATCCTCATGGTTGCCCCATCGTCATCGTCATCGCGATTCGCCATCGCCCATCGCCAGACATGTGTATGAGACGAGGCGAGACGAGACGTAGTATCCGCCGCCAATAATTGATGCGACTATTACATACGAGGCAACCGACCGCGAATGAACTCCGTCGGCAAATTCCAGAGCGGCGAAAGCAAAAAAACAAAATAAAACTTGGTAAAAAAACAAAAAAAAACCAGATGTCGGGAACCACGAGGTCCATCAAAAAGAAGCGGGCGAATCAGAAGCGGTGGTCAGACCTTACTTCAGCGGTGCCGAACAGACTACATACACCGTCGCTCGCCCCGTCATCTTTCACCCATGGATCGCAAGGGAAACCCGCACAGCTTTGCCGGCGGGTGCTCCCGCTGTCTCTCTACCGTCGCACCCTAGACGGATCGGATACCTGAGTTCTGTGCGCAAGTAGAATCGATAGTCAAGTTTTGCCGGCGCTCTGATGTTTATGCAGAACCGCGCCCGGAGACACCCATCCGCCCTCCGCGACCATCGCCGCAGCCAACGGGCCCACCTCCTTGCCCCTCGCCCCCCCCCTCCTCCGCCCCCCCTCCCCCCCTCCCTCCTCCGCCCCCCGTCGTCCACCCCCACCATCCCATACGTAGGTGATCCAATCTAATGGAGCTCGCAAATCAAGAGGTCGGATCTCCGAAAATCGAAGATGCGCTTGCAGCTTCCGCTTGGCCCGCCACCGGTTGCCATCCGAAACTTCTGAGCGGCGGCCATGGATGGATGGATTGCATTAGATATTCCATCGAGAAACGGCTCGAGCGCAGCAGCTTTCGCAAATTTCGCAGCTTTCGCTGCGCTTGATTAGGTATTTTTTTTTCCTGCTCGAAAGTTGGTGACCACCACCACCGCCGCCGAGGAAAATCTGGTGCGACGCGAGGGCAAAAACAAAAGCGGCCACAGCGCATGCGCGGCGCGGCGCAGCGCGGTGTGTGGTGCGGCGTCGTCGCAGGGCGGCGGACGGCGAATAGTCAGAATTGCCGCAGAAACTCCGTACGTCAGTCCGTCCGTCCAATCCTTCCTCGTCCTGCTGCTGCTCATCCTGCGTCCAAGAAACAGAACAACCATGGCTACCACCACACCCTTTCTCCAGAATCGCGGTAGCACTGGGCTTTAGGACGACCGGAGAGGATGGATGATCGATCGATATCGAGATCTCGCACGCAGTGTCTATCCTCCCCCCATCCAGGTATCCCATCTTGCTGGGGACTTTCGGTAGAATGTCCGCACACACATACCACAACCACAACCACAACCACCACACACCACAACCACAACCACCACAACCATTTGCGAACAACCATCCGAACCATCCATCCACACACACACACCGCTCCGGTCTCGAAGTTTCAATGGGGGCGAGCCCCATCAACCATCATCATTCGGCGTCATGATCGGCATATCCTTGATACCATCGGTCGTCCGCCTCGTCTTGCGGGTTGCAGCTTCCGTCTTGCGCAGCTAACGAGTAAAATGCACTGCGGGAGGGAGGGAGTGAGGCAGGGAGGGATATGTGCAAGATTGATGGGTCGACGGAGAAGTCGATGGAGAAGTTTGGGTTTATTTTCTTGCTGCTGCTGTTGTTTCGTTTCCGGCAAATCGACCGTATGCGCGCATGTATTGTACTAGAGTAGGTATGCTCTCATATGCCAATGTGGATGCACCCCGCCATCGCCGCGGTCGCCGCATCGCCCCTCCCCGCCCCGCCTCTCCCCTCCTCCCCGCCCTTAGCCCGCACATGCCCCGCCCCCGCATGGAACACCAGATCCGTCGCAGCGGACGAAAACGCTCGAAGCATGTGTAGCACCCAGTTAGGTAGAGTACCCTACGCTGCCTACTCGAGGAAAGAATTATCTCTCCGAAACAGCGAAGAAAAAAAAGTAAGGAAGAGCGAACTGTGGTCGGTCCCTCCACCGATCCCGATCCGACAGCCAGCCAACAGCCAGCAGCAGCAGCAGCCCGGCCAGAACTTGCCGTCGCTTTTCCCCAACATCTTGTCCACCCCCAAACCATCACCAAGGTCTTGGAACACAATCCTGAAGAGCCGGGAAGGAGGGAGGGAGGGGGGCACACCCAACCAATCATTTCGCCCCCACTGCGCTACAGTACCACGAAGAAGTTCGCACTGGGCTTTAGTCAACATCACACAGCCCATCTCATATTCTCCTCCTCACACCCACACACGCACACGCTCCGTGAAGAAAAAATAAATACCCACGTTGTTTATTCCGTTGTACCGCCCTCCAACTTGTGCCAGCCCATGTATGGTATCCCAGCAGCTCGGTTCGAGCCTTTCGCCCTTCTCTCATGTACTTTCGCGAGCCCCATCCACCAGGATTTGGGGTTTGGGGTTTGGGTAATGTGCGCTAGGCAGTTGGAACGAGACCACCATCACCGATAGTGTCTGCATGTATGTATGCGTGGGTTCCGATGTAACCACGAGGAGTGGGTGGGAAACAAATGGTAGGCAATAAGCGAATCCTCTCCACTCCCCTCCCCAAGAGAGTCAACTTCTCAAGCCTGCTGCGCCCAGCTGCCTTCGATATGTACCGTATCTTCTGGTCAGCCTCTGGTCACAGTAAAGCGCAGTAGATACCCGCTGGTATCTCCGGCCGTCCTGTTGCGCACGTTTATTCATCCGCACAGCACCATGCCATGTTCATACTCGATGAAATGAATGCGACACTCGGCACTTGCTCTGCTCTATCGACAACCATCAACGTATCGGCGCCAACACGCGCGAGCGAGCGAGTGCCCCACATCCAACAACATGGACTGCGGGCTTGCTGCGTAGTTGTTTTTGTTGTGGTGATGGTGGTGGTGGTGGTGGTGGTGATGGTGGTGGTTGTTGGTGGTGGTGGTGGTTGTTGGTGGAGGTGATGTCGTCGCGGAAACTTCCATCTTAGCCCACCGACGACGCAGCCCCAAAACGCAAGCAAAACCTCCCTCCGAGTCTCCGACCAATCCGATTTTGCTCACGGAGCGAGAAGGCTGGATGGAGAGCATGCTGTAGGTATGATCTATGTATGTAGAGTAATACTCACCCAGCCCAGCCCAGCTCACCCCCCAAGACGTTCCGGTTTACCCACAACAACCCCCACCCGCGTCGATGGGTCGGAGACGGTGGTTATGTCGAGTACGGTGGTAGTGGTGGTAGCGGTGGTAGTGGCGGTAGTAGTGGTGGTGGTGTTGGGGGGCTCCGTATCGTATCCCATCGTATCCCCATTCCCTCATCTCATCTCGTCTCGTTCTTGCTCCTCCCCATTCCAAATCCCCGGCCGCCCCCCCCTCCCTCAAGAAATAAATCCCAAACCCCACTCAACCACTGTTCCGGTGAACGGGTACCAAGGCTGCGCCACCAAATCGACATTCACCGCTCCACTCCACCGGGCAGTCCTAGTGATCTAGGAAAGTAAAGCGAACGTGAAGGTGGTGGGTGGGTTGGACAACGACGACGACACAACGACGAAAACAAAAAATGTCAGTAGATAGAGTAGAGTAGTGGGGTCAGACATCACATGCCACATACATATCATACAACAACTCTGCCCCCCCTCCTCCCTCCCCTCCCCCTCCCCTTTCACCCCCCCCCCCCCCCCCCCCCCCCCCCCCAACCCTCCGATACAGCATCTAGAGTGGAGTACTGTGGCTTCCCGCTAACCACGCCCCTGCTAACCACACATCACACACCCCTCGCTAGGTAGGGTAGTTAACCCATGGCACGCTCCGCGAGACCGAGGAATTCCTCAGAGCGAGCGACCAGCACCAGCAAGCAGCGCAGCACCGTCGTGATGTGTTGGAAGGATGGATGGGTGGAAGGAAGGATGTATGGATGGATGTGTGGGTGGATGTGTGGATGTGTGGATGGATGGGGGTGGATGGATGGAGGGATGGGATACATACTCGACGGGACCAAGAACCTCAGGTAGGAAGGAGGTCTTGCCGAGCGAACGACCATTCTTCCGATCTGCGCTAGCTACTACACAGCGGCGACAGTGTTCAAAACGAGTTGTTTCCCAAACATACCAACATCGCAAAATACCCCCCCCTCCCAGGCCCGCCCGCCTCCCTCTCCCTCCCTCCCTCCCTCCCTCCCTCCCTCCCTCCCTCCCTCCCTCCCTCCCTTCCTTCCTTCCTTCCTTCCCTGGCGTAGAGTATCTAGAGCCCAGTACTCTAGAGCAGAACGAGCAGAGCGAGATACATACCCAGGGTAGCCGTACATAGAGTCGAGTACCCAGAGTATCTAGAGTCGAGCAGGCTATCTACTACTGTATGTCTCTCTAGCCTCCCTCCATACCGGGGAAAACGAATCGACCATCTGCCATCAACCATCGGCCATCGAGCAATTACAGCAAAGTGACCTATAAAGGCACTTAAATATGTACTTACGTACGGAGTAATTCGATTCCCGAGCGTGCGTTTTCTGACAGACGACACGACACGACACGACGGGCCCGGCTGTAATGTATAGTATGTACTCTACATAGCCTGGGTGTGAGAGATAGATTAATCGGGGCCCAAATATTGTCTATATGGGGGTAGGTATCTAGGCTACCTACATCATCGCAGACAGGCTGGCAGGCAGACAGGCTGGCAGGCAGACAGGCTGGCAGGCAGACAGGCTGGCAGGCAGACAGGCTGGCAGGAACACAGGCTGGCTGGACCAGGACGCGTACTGGCGCATGCGTAGGTGGACATATATATATGTACGATGCATACGATGCGATGGCCATGGATGGGTGGATTTGGGGGGGTGGTTAGAAGGGTGGTGGTGGCGGTCGTCACGTTTCGACGCTTTCGTTTCTAGTGGTCGAGTGGGTTGAGTGGGTGGATGAAACAACCTTCCCCACACCGCACCGCCTCGTACCGCACCGCCCCGGACAGCACCGCAACAGGCCAATCCCCGTCGCCGCACCCGCAATTTATCAACAGTACCGTATCACCGTATCATTGTATCACTGTATGGTATCACTGTGCCTATCACTGTATGGTATCACTACCAGTTGTGTGGACGGTGTCATATGGACGGCGTTATGATTATGATTGCGCAAGAGAAAAGAAAGAAGAAGGAAAGGAAAAGGCAAGGAAATCAAATAAACAAACAAGTAATTGATTCGGCGATTGCGACCCTCCCCCGTTCCCTCGCGGATATGTCCGTCCTGGGAATAGATACCGCCCTAAATTCTAATTTCCCAATTTCCCAGCTTCCACCAACCCACCAACAACCCGCCCACACAGGAAGGCTTCACGCTTCCCGGGAAACAAAACGAAATCGATTTAGATCACTTTGCAAGAATTCTTAATTGTAATTGTATTGTGTGTGACTTCCAATTTACAGGCCACTTGTGCTTGATATCGTCTCCCGTCCGACCATCTCCCGTCTGTCCGTCCATCCATCTGTCCGTCCTCCTCCTTTCTTTCCCCCTTCTTATAATATCCAACAAAAAAAAACAAATTTCTCCAGCCAACCAAGGAAAATGAAACAAAGGGAATTCTCGCACCACAAACAAACGATAATAATATGTATAACCGCCAACCAAGGGGATAAAAAAAAAGGAGATATAAAGATAAAATAAAAAGGAGATATAAGGAAAGCCCAAAGTTAAACGAGATAATTTGTACTGAAAAAAGAAAAAGGAAAAAAAGGAAAAGAAAAGGGAAATAGAACTGAAAAAGGTGATAATAGTGGTTAAAATGTATGTACCTATTGGAAGAGTAGTAAAAAAAAAGACACCTTCAGGAAGACATGATCTGCCCTGCCCTCCGAGTGTTAGTATTATGATGATGATGAAGTTGATGATGAGATGATGGAAACCCCTCTGACGAATAACAAAAGAGAGAGAATCCGTAGCAGAAAAAAGCGCAGTAGCACGGTAAACTGTACTCCGACGCCCCTCAACAACCAACCAGAGGAGCAGATCTGAGGAGAAACCCTCCTCCCCCCGTATGCAAGTAGAACCATTGCATGCAGAGAAGCGAGTAGTATGTGCAACGAAGGAGGAATCAAAAAACACACCGAGACAGTGAGAGGGAGAGGACGGGATGCAAAGAAAACCAACCCAATAAACACAATGCGATGAAAATCAATAAACTGCCTGCCGTGTGGAACCAAGAATATGTAGGGAAATAAAAAAACCAATCAAAGCACGCCACCCATACACCTGATTGTAGACATGAAGCTGTACCCGTTCTTTTAAGTGAGACCGAAAGGAAAGTAACGAAAAGCACTGTGCAGCCCAACCCCAAATGAAAACCCTCTTTTAGTGCGAAAACAAAAACAGAAAAAGAAATAAACGAAAAAACAAATGAGAACATTGATTCTCGAAAGCCGCCCGAATAGGTATATATATGCATCGACGAAGAATGACGAGGGAAAAGCAAAAAATGGACTTAAAAAAAGGCTTTGTACAAGGTCGCCGCGGTTGATGATGTGGCGAAAGGGTGTTTAGCAGAATGAATTGCGGGGTGTCGGCAGCATGCTGGTATCCTCTTGCTTGATAATCGGCATGTCGTATCCGAAATCCATCCTTGATGGCGTAGAGATCAGGTGGTGCTGGTGCGTGTTGACTTCGTACCACACCTGTGGTGCCTGCAGCTGCGGCACATGGAAAGATGTCGGGTAATGCATGTTGGGATGGAACTGGGCGGCATGTTGTTGCGTCTGCATGCTCGAGGGGTTGGGGTAACTGCCGGAAGAGACATACGGGGACTGGTAGGGCGTCGACGGCTGAGGTGCCCGGCAAAAGTAGTCGACCGAAGACTGACTTGACACGGACGAGCAAGACGAAAGGCTACCGGGACTGCTCTGAAGATGTTGGGCCGTCACCAGGAGCTGCTCGGGGCTCTGCGGGTCCAACACGAGCCGAAGTCCGTTGTGGAAGGGTCCGGCATGGCCGATCACTGGGGTGTGGATGACGGTTGCCGGGGAGATTGATCGCGAGTGGTCTTCGAAGTACGGGCTCTGTGGTGTTGGGGGCATCATATTCTGGTGTTGGTTGTCGTTGTAGAATCCGGAAGAGAAGCTGGCATTGCGGCTCGAGGAGTTGGAAGACGGCAGGGTCATTGGGCTGTGGGGGCTCAGAGGCTCATGGATGCCATAGGTGTTTTGACGGAACAAGGTGGTTCCCTGTGGCAGCAGCGCGCTCTGTCTTCGCTGGTGTTGCTGCTGTAGCCGTCTGACGGCCTTCTTTTGTTGGTTCCTCGCCGGCAGTGATTTTCTGGGTGTCGAAGTCATGTCCAGGTCCTCTTCGGTCTCCATCTCAGAGTCAGCTCCCTCGTTGTCAAGAAGCTGATGTTGCCGCCTCGCGTGCTTGGTCAATGTTGTTTTCCGGCAGAAGCTATAAAGACGATCCAGTCAGACTTCTTGCTTCCCATTTTTTTATTTTTTATTTTTATATGGTTTTCGCCATCGGAGTTCTCCTTTAAGTACCTCTTCTCACATCCATCGATAGGGCACCGGTATGGGCGCTTGCCAGTGTGAATCCGTCGGTGACGCGCCAAGCTCGAGGACTGCCGCAATGGTTAGCTCGCGATCTCGGCGGCAAATAGGAATTGAGTTTCGGGGGTCTCGGGTCTTTCGGGTCTCGCTTACATCTGAGAAGCATTTGCCGCAACCAAGGTATTCACACTTGTGGGGCTTCTCGCCAGTATGTGTCCGGATGTGCACAGTAAGGGCACTCCTCTGGATGAAGGACTTGCCGCAATCGTGGTAATGGCAGGTGTATGGCCTCTCGTTTGTGTGGATGCGGTGGTGGCGCTGCAGATCGGACTTGCGGTTGAAACTCTGCACTGCACGTTAGCTTCTGCTATTGGCGAGCTGCAAAGCAACCACGTTCGCCCGCATAGCGGGGGGAAGCAAACAAACCTTTATGCAGTCGGGCTCAGGGCACTGGAAGGGTCGCTGGCTGCACTCGGCGATGGTCTGATCCTTGTCGTCGATGAGCTCGAGAATATCCATTGCGGTAAGTTGGTTGTTGTTGTTGAAGGTGTTGTTGTTGTTGAGATAGCGCGCAGGAGTCGTGATTGTCGGTGCTTGTGACGGGAAGCTGCGATTCAGTCTTGGGGGAGTGGGGGGGTTTAAGACTGGGTGGCTGTTGACGATGGAGGGAGGAGGGGGTGTGTGAGAGCGGTTGGTAGACAGCTGTTCAGGCGGGATGCCGAAGGTAGAAGGCAGATGTCGAGGCGGGTTGGGTTGAGTTGGATGTTGATGTTGAAGTTGAAGTCGGGGGGCGGGCAGCAAGGTATATATATTATGTGGATGATATTGGAGAGTGCAGGCCACGGGAGGAATCCGTTTCTGATATTGCTATGAGGATTTCTTGTTGTGGACAGGAGTGGGGAGGACTCGATTGAAGTATGTTAAGTAGTGGGGAGAGGTTGAATCAGAGACGGGAGATAAGTTGGGGTTGCAGCTGCCAGTTATACGTCCGTTCCAGTGCTGGGGATTCTGGTTCACAGGAAGCGTGAGGGCGTGCTTGGGATGCTTGGGGATGGGGATGGGGGGGGGGGGGGGGGTCCTCCGATAGCTTAAACAGAGGCAACCAGGATTACGGGTGGTTAAACTAGCTAGAGCGAGTTAACGAACGAACATTGCTTTTGGCCAGGGTTCGCTGCTGCCCATTGACCAGCTTATTCTAACTGGACCCCCAAAACTGAGCTTAGACATCCCAGCGAGAGATGCTAGCTCTTCGCGCTTCCCATGGGTCAACAGCAAGTGGCAAGTGTGCGTGGCAGTGTGCAGCCGTGGCAGACTGGACGATAGAGGTAGGTAAGAAGCTGGGCGAGTAGGTAAGTCAGGAAGTAGGTAGATACTTGGCAGGTACGTACCTCACGGATCCATCGTGTGGCCCTGGTTGCGAGACCATGCAGCGGAATCCTGGAGGCGCAGGGCTCGAGGCGGCGGCGGCGGCGGCGGTGGAGATGGAGGCACTGGAGGCAATGGGGGCAGCGGAGGCCGCGGAGGCACGCCATCGATGTACTGCACATCCGCTCCACAGCACCGGGCAACCTGCTCATGGCCCAGCGGCCAACCTGCTCATCGTACAGCGGCCAGACGCACCGTGACGACAACATCAGAGACGGTCGACTCATGTAGATAGCCGGTGGGAGAGGGAAAGAGCGAGGGAGCATGAAGGGGCATCGCCCACTGCATCACGGCACAATGGCCGAGGGCGGAGGACATGGGCAGTCCAACGGGCCCACCACTGGCTGGCCACTATTCTGCTTCCTACGGCCTCAATTTCAGCGATGGAGCGGGCAGGCAAGGCACGAGTCTAGGCAAGTACTCTACTTACATACTTGGGCACTCTACCTGCACCACGGCTCGACGGACTCGCCGCCATGGCCGAGCCAGAGCCATCTAGGTGGACGGAATGGCAGTCATCCGCACCGGCATCGCACCGCACCGTGCCGTACCGTACCGCACCTCAGCTCACCACCGCCGCTGCATGCCAGAACCTAGACCACGTCCTTTGCCCCTTCCGTCCGCTCGTTCGTTCGCTCGTTCGCTCGCTCGTCTCTTTCGCTCGTCTCTTTTGCTCGTCTCCTGAGATCCCTCCCGCTTGGCCGGCCGGCGGCGAACGGCACAGGTAACGGGAAGCGGACAGGCCCGGCACACAGACATCCTCCCTCTAGATAGTGTCCGTACCGCACTGCAAGCCCTTTCCCGCAGAGTGATGGGTGCGGCCGGCCTATGGCCCATGGTCCATACACATCCCACTGGCACACACACTCTCTCACTCCACACACCACTCACCACACCACACATATCACACATTTCCATCCCCCCCACACACACTCTCGCACACTCACACACTCACTGCATTCCCCTTCAAACTCGTGTTGTTTGTGGCCTCGGACGGATCTGTCTTCCCGCAGTCAATCGTAGGCGTGGCCAATCTCTCTCGTTCTCTTCGAGAGTTGAAGATCGAGATGTGTTGACGGCGGATTTTTCCTTTTTTCCCTTTTCTTCCCTTTTGATGGGCTGTCCGCACACCAGCCAGTCAGCCCGAGATCTTTTTTCGTAGGGTACATACATCTTATGCACACGGCAACACCACTGGCTCACCGCGGCCAGCGAACCCGGGCACACGACCTGTCTGTCAAAGTTCTCACCTCCCTGTTCTCCATTCTCACACCCCTCCTCACTCCCCCTCACATTCTGCTCCCCGCCTCCCCTCCGCCTCCCCCACCTCACCCCGCTCGTCGGCCGTTGTTGCATCTCCTTGGGTGTGTTTTGAAGAGTGTCTACCCGTGCCCTTCTGTTCGTTCCGATTTCTGCCTCGTTTCTGCCTAACCGCTGTAATGAGTCGTACCCGCATGAATGGTATATCTCCCGTGGATAGGCAAGGCAAAGTTTAAGCATGCGAAGTCTGGCTCGGAATGCTAGCGATGTATGTAGACTCCCGCGAGGGAAAAAAGGCAGCTGGGTTTGGGTGCGTCGAGGTGTGTCGGGAGCCACACAAACATGAATATTGAACATCGAACATCGTCCTCTTGGAGACGGACATTCACCCCATGCATACTGTACGTACAACGAAGCTCCACAAACCACCACCTCGTCCACCCACCACCACCTCCACCACCTCCACCATTACCGTCACGACCCACAGCCATCTCCAAGCCGGCGACCCACACAGAACTCCATTAGAGTACACAGCCTTTTGAAGCCACCCAGTTCCCCCCAAACTCAACCGCCGCAACGAAAATTCCCCCACTTTCCACCAATCACTGCCATCGACCCAACACTATTTACCGCGACACAAAAGTACCAACCGCCTGCGCCCTCGACAAAAACAACGCGATCTCGGTCGCAGACCGAAGGGAGGGAACGGGATGTTCCCGTTCAAACTCGTAGGACCCACCTCAGCCCGAGCAAGAAAAAATGGGAGAAAAAAAAAGAATCATCCGACATCCTGGCCTCACCGGAAACAACACACAAACATCTCCAGAAAGAACATCCCGCGATGAAAGGCAAGTACGTACGTAACCCGACCCAACGAGAGCGACCACATCCGGCTACGGAATATATGGTTAGCACTGGGCGGGCAGTGGGCAAGCAAGCAGGTTGCAACACATACCACCTGCCCGTGTTAACCGGTCTGTCTGGCTGTCTGTCTTGTTTCTTGCGCTGCCGTTGCCCACGCACACACACCACACGCTCTCCCGATCCATCTCCCACTCCATCTCCCTCGCCGTAACTACAGTACGCCAGCCGTTTCGATGTTTGGCCGCTCCCTCTCCCTCTCACACACAGCTCACACACGCACACACGCGCTCCACAGTAGTAGTTAGTAGTTAGTAGTTGGTAGTTTGGTGTAGTGACCACACCACCAGCACCACCGCCGTAGTTACCGCTAAACCCAGAGAGCACAACCTCCCAAGAGTCTTTTGCCCCAGCTCTTTGGCACGGAGCAATCGCTCGTGCAGGGGCATGTAATCCGAGACTAACTTACCGCAGCCTGGTCACTCTCGCATGGGGGATGGAGAGGTCTGCCATACGGTAATTTTCTTTCCTTTTCCTCTCCCAAGGACAAGGATTCGGTGTTGTGTTGCTTGTAACTAACTTAACCCCCCATCCACCCCCCCAACCCAACCCAAACCCCCCCCAGTCTCTCTTCGGATTGGCGGCACGTTTAGTTTTAGTTTTGGCTAGAGAGACGACCCAGTATTCGGGTCCGCGAGAAAGAGGGAACAGAGAGAACACGAAGAAGGATGAGAGGGAGAAAAAAGCAATTTCATGTCGCTATCTCCCGCGAGCTCTCGCACACACACACCACAAATGGGATTACACAGAGAGCTATGTAGAGTGTTAGCTATGTGGAGTACAGACCTATGTACAATACGCTAAAAACATGTAGGTAGGGAGCATATGTGTAGTGTAGCGGTACATACACAAGACTCTCTCTGGTACATAGCTGCCTACCTGCCTGCCTGCTTCACCATTCCGGGATAGTAGGTATTCCAACGACATGGCAGTTGCGACGTGCTGTGTGTGTGTCCAAGAAGAAGCAGAAGAAGAAGCAGGAGAAGCGGAGGAAGAAGACATGAAACAGATCTTATCGAAGGGGCACTCCGATATCCTCAAGTAAAAGTAGGCAGACGATGGGGGGAAGTCGGCCAGCCCAGATTAGCCCGGCCAGGTACCGTACCTATGAGAGCAACCACCATCTCTGACGTACCTATCTAGAGTACTCTACTCTACTACATGCGGCGTCCGTCCGCCCTTCGCTTCCTCACCCTCACCTCACCTCACCTCACCTCAGAGATACGTAGAGTAGAGTACATACCTCATACCGGGTCGTCACTCAATCAATCAATCAACTCATCCATCTACCATGTATACCGGTACTCTACAGGCCCGTTACCAACGGCAGCACAGTGACGCAGCTCGCAGCTCGCAGCTCGTTAAAGGCTGGGACCTGGGTGGGTGGGTAAGTGGTGGGTGACAAGCGGCACGCCTTCCTTCTCCCTCCCTCTTTCCCTCTTTCCCTTCCACGGCAGTTCGATACCAACAGCTCATCTGCTCTCGGTACTTTTTCTACATAGAAACATACCAACAGGAGCGCTGCGCAGAGCAGGAGGAAGGAAGCAACGAGGAAGCAAGGAATCAAGTGGGGCGGGGGGGTTCCAATAATGTTTCGAAAAGAATCAATGAATGAATGGAACGCTCAGTGTATAGAGTAGTGTGATCGCCATCGTCATCGACACTGGACAGACAGACGCGCAGAACCTCCTGCTCCTTCTTCTTCCTTTTCTTCATCTCCTTCTTCTCCCCGGAACGTCAAAGGAACCGTCCATCTGGGTTTCCATTTTCTCCGCTCCACCTAGAGTACCTATTTTTTTCCTGCCCGTCAGGGGGCCTGGGAAAGTGAAAGGATGGTGAATCTCGGAATTATGGGAAAACCCGTGGATGCGGTTTTACATGAGCAAGCAAGCAAGCAGGAAAAAAAAGAAGGAAAAAAAAAGTGTCCGCCAAGATTATATGACTTCTAAGAATAAGTTTCGCTGCAAATAACCAAGAACTTAGTAGTAGTAGTGGTGGTGGTGGTGGTGGTAGTCGTTACCCAAGTAAGTACCTAGAGTATCTAGTGAAAGGGAAACGAAACGAGCCGTGGAAGGGAAGGGAAGGGTATGTAGAAATGTTTCCCTTGAAAAACGGCGCTAGCGGGAAGTCAGTACATAAACGCGAACGAACAAACAATGACCACCATGGCCATAGCCACAAACAGATCGGACTAAACCCAAGCAATTTGCGCTCATTCAGCAACATGAGCCGGGAAAAAGGGTGGCCCTGTCCTTCCCCCCTACCCTCCCTACCTCGCTCCATCCTTCCCTCTCTCTCTCTCCCTCGGTCCAAATTCCTTCCCATTCCAAGAGAGGAAACAAAGGAAACGACGTAGGAAGGGTAAAAAAAACTTGTATTCTTCGTCTGCAAAGGGTCCAGAAGGACACACCCATGAGATTTGGCCCCCAGACGAATTTTGAAACCATGGAAGAGCTTGGAGCTATACACGGGAGGTGAGGCGAGGTGGTGGTTCAGTAAAGGTCTGTTCGTATGCTACCTTCGGGGTGGCCAAACGTGCTATAGTTCCTACTACCTACCTGGTAGCACGGGAGCCCGCGCCCTCGCGAAAAGTCCGGGAGCTCGAGCTCGAGGGTGAGGGTGAGAGAGCGGGTGCGGATGCGGGCTGACCGACTGATTGACATGACTGATCCGCAGCCGTGTGCATTAACCACCCCCAGCCAGCCAACCAGCCAATGGCAATCAAACCACAGATAGATAGGTAGCCGTCCGCCCGTCCGTCCGTTCGTCGGACGTCGAACGGACGGAAGACAGCGGCCCATCACTTCTCTCCCGCCCTCCCGCCCGCCCTCCCTGCGTCGTTGCGTCGTTGCGTCGTTGCCGCTGCTCCAATGGATTGTGCTGCTGCCGCTGTGATATCTAACTCTCATGTAATAATCCGAGGACCACCCCGGCCGGCAGCTCTCTTTGTATAGATGATGCTGCTGCTACTTCGGCTGCGCGTGTATTACTATAGATACTGTTCCAGATGTTATGCTCGATTGCATGACACATCTCGCTCGGTGGCCGGTCGGGCCCACCCCCGGGATTGACGGGATTGATGAGATTGATGAGATTGATGCTTACATACCCGCGTCAGCAATGGAACGTGGATCCTGCGATGGTCCGCCCGGAGCTGGGATTCTCCCGCCATATCTAGAGGCTGGGGGACTTTCAGTATGGAGTAGGTGGCGAACCATGGGCCGCGAGGAAAGGGTCCTGTCAAGCTTCCATCATCCTCCACCTCCCGCATCGCTATTTCTCCCACCCCATATGCGTATGTAGGGTAGGTATGGATGCATTCACCAATCGAGCTACTACTCCGCAAGCTTCGCAACGGCTACCTAGGTAGATACCTTGGTACCTACTCGGTGAGGATTCAGGAATGAATAAGCTCCGCAATCTGGGCCCGCACAGCCCGCAGCCCTTGGGCTTCGCTTCCGCTTCGGCATCCGCATTCGCAGCAGCGGCGGTAGCGGCGACGACCGCGGAGCGGAGCGGGCACAAGCAGGAAGGAAGGAAGGAAGAAAGGGAACTCCAGACTGGCTGGCTGGCTGGCTGGTTACTCTAGCAGGGCCACACTAGATACCGTATATACCGTATCATCTCCGTGCTGCCCTGCTCTGCCCTTCTTCCGACTCAGCCCAGCACATATATCCGGCCGTCCAGTCCAGCGAAGCGCAGCGGATCGATGAGTTCTTCCGACCGAACCCAGTCCGCTCCGCTCCCATCCAACGAGCTGGTTCGGATGTTTGATTACCCTTTTTTCCCCTCCCTTCTTCCATCACCACCACCACCACCACGACTCCGCAAGCGTGCGCGTGAGCGGGCAAGTGTGTGTGTATGTAGCAAGGCGGAAGAGATGAAGGAAAGAAGAAGAAGAAGAGGAGCAAGAAGAAGAAGAACAAGAAGAAGAAGAACAAGAGCCCTATTTCCAGTTTCCCCTTCCACTGTGTCGTTTCTCATTCCTCGCTTCTTGCGAAAAATATGTACCAGTACGTACGTGCGGTTACTCGTGAGCCTATGGTGGGATCTTAGTTGAGCCATGACATCGGAGGGGGGGGTGGATCTTCACCAGTAATACGACTCCCCACTTAACTATCTACAGCCCTGCCTCCCCCAGCCATTGGAAGCAAGGCCCATGGGAAAGAAGTCCTGATTTTCATCGTATTCGATGGTATGGTAGCATTGGTAGATATGTCCTGTCCTGTCCTATCCCCCACAGAACCTGCTGGCGGCCGGCCGGTGGGCCCGGTGGTGTATGATAGCACCGTATGTCGGTGTCATGGCCTTGGGGGGGAGGGGTGTAACATTATCCTTGCCTTGCTTTGCTTTCCTTTGCTTTACCGTCAGGCTCAGCATATATGTGCATGAGTATTCAATTCCATCAGTTGGGTGACCTGGAGTATGCGTGTGTGGGCGGGGTTGGGCAGCAGACCCAGAACTTCTCTTGCGCGCTCCGCCGCGTGTATCTCAGACCACAGCGTAGTGGGCGGCGTAACTGACTATCCTCCACTCCATTCCACTCCACTCCACACACGCACACAGTGACACACGTGCTGGTATGTTCCCAGCCTGCACGGAGTCTACAGTACAGTATCGAGTTACAGCATAGGTAAGTTATCGGCCGGCCCACTCTCCTTCGTGTTCATCCCACCTCCTCCCGAGTGGCAGCTAACAAGCCACTTATCCTCTTGTTATGTAGAGCAGCTGGTTAGTTACCTGGTAGGTGGGGAGAGAAGAAGGACCATACAATTCCACCTGGCCGGTGGCGGCGCTGGCTCAACAGTTGGAACTTGGGAAACATCGTTTGATGATGCCCTTCCCCTCGTAACCCGTTTCCCGTCCACGGTTGGAAACACAGTAAACAAAGAGAGAAAGAAAGAAAGAAAAACCGCCAAGGCCCTATGTGCACCGCAGCGGTGGCAGGCACCAACAAGCACTCTAGAGCATTCACCGGCTCATGATGGAGGGCTGACGGGGTGGGGAGGGGGGGGGGGGGAGGGGGAGGGGGGTGAGGCAGTTGGAGGGAAAAAGCATAAAATACCGCCGTCCAGGTGAATGGAGGCAGTTAGAGTGAGATGCATCGTTTCGATTGGGGGCCTTCTGATGGCTCTTCCCCCCCATCCCCCAGCTGGCAGCTGGTTCGTCTCTTTCTCCCCCCCATCCCCCCCTCCAGCCACCTGTGCTAACAACTCCCGGGAACACAGCTTCGAAGCCAGGTCCGATGCAGCAAGGCTCGCTCTCGCCAAATTGTGGCCCTTACAAACATGTTTCAGGCTCTAACCCTGGATCTGGGTAAAAAGAAAGGAAAAAAAGGAACCTCTCCCTCTCCGCCTCTCTCTCTTTCTTGAGAATTTTCATTCGGGAGAACTTTTGGGGGTAGCTTTGAGGCTTGCGGAGGGGAGGGGCACTCAGGTCGTGTGCGTGCGTGTGTGTGTAGTGTGTGTTGGAGGAAGAGTACTCCGCCGCCGGCCTGCCCGCCCTGCCCTGCCGGTTTTCATACATCCCTCCTTTCTTCGGAGCGAGATGCAATACATCACATCACCTATACATTCCTCCTTGGATACGCAGGTACATAGGTGCCGTTGACCTGTCGCATCCAAATGGCCCGGACTCGACTCCGCCGTGCGTGCGTGGGGTGCCAGTGGACCGTGGTGGTGGTGGTTATGAAAACATTGAACGAAACGTTGAGGGGAGGTAACGACAAGGAGCTCGCCGAAGCTGCTGCAGCTTCTCACCGAACTAACTACATACCTAGGATGTAGGGGCAAAAGACTTGGAGAGCTCTCGGAGAGAGAGAAAGTGAAAGAGTGGACATCTTTTCTGGATCCATCCAAAGGGCAGTTGTGGGGGGCGAGTCGATGCAGTATCTTTGTAGTGTAGTTATGTGCAACTAACACTGTCAGTCTGTCACCAACCGCATATCCAACTATCTGACGGGCGCCCCGCTGCCAGCCAGGTTGGCGAAGTTGACGGTAGCTAATCATGTCTACGCCCAGAAGATGCGAGCTGCGGCGAAGCGGGCCAAAGCGTCACCCCCCTCCACGCTCCGCGTTCAGCGGCCCGTTGGCTTCGGCGGCCGCTGAAAGTGCCCGCCTATGTACCCATCAACCCACCAGAGGATTTTCACACGGACGAACTCCGCGGCGAGCGTATACAGTGTGCTGGTAGGTACATACAAAGTCATCATGAAGCACCGGATATCGCCGGGAGTTCTAGATATAGTATGGAAAGTAGCAGAAACGGCGCTCAAACCCTCCCTCCCTCCCTCCCTCATTCCATCTCTCCAATTCAATTCCCCCCGTCCCCCCGTCCCCCCGTCCCCCCACTCCCCCCACCCGCTGCCGCCATGAAATTCCGACCAAGCAGCATCTCCCACTCACAAGTCCGCCGGTAAATACCCTTTCCGTTTCCCACCCAGTCTCTGGGATTCTGACAGCTTTCTAGAGGGGCAATGGAAGGTCCCCACTTTGTCTTTCCTGGGAGGTTCGAGTGGATACTGTATTGTATGTATGTACTCTATGTATGTACCGTACATGGCATGACATTAGAGTACTCTACTGTATAGTACTCTACATAACCATGCCCAACGTCCGAGCGAGCCTGCCTGCCAGCCCGCCCGCCGGGGAGAAATAGTTAACGTATGTACAAAGGTACGTAAGTACACATCTACCGGCCGGCAGAAGTTAACGGACGGGCGGGCGGGCGGGTATGTAGGAAGGTATGTACCTGGGTACTCGGGTAGGTACTGTCGATTTCGAACTTTCCTCTGATCCCTCTTCTTCTTCTATTCTTCCGTGCTTCCTTGCTTCCTTGCTCCCTTCCTTCGTTACTGCCTTCCTTCCTTCGTTACTTCCCTTCCTTTCGTTCCATCCAGCCTTCCTTCCTTCCTTCCTTTCACTCCGTCCGCTCGCACGCGCATCGGTCGCGTCGGTGCATTGGCGGGGGACGGGGGACTGCACCTGCTACGTTACTCTACTCTACTCTAGGTACGCCTTATAGGCAGTTGCAAATATACCTATTGCATCCATCCATCCAACGTCCGCCCCACCCCCGCCGCCCCACCCCCGCCGCCGCCGCCGTCGCCGTCGCCGTCGTACTCTAGAGTAACGAGGTAGATACCGTAGTTATACGTAGTACAGTTCATAAGTCCTACGTAGGATTCCTCTTTTGCATCACTCTAGAGTAGAGTACCATCTATCCGCCGCACCTAAACAAAGCAAAAAAAAACCACCATAAGTTATCGCCGTGCTTTTTTGAGCGTTGGGAATACTTGCCGGAAGAACTCTAGTAGAGTAGCCAGAGCTCTGGGGTTGGGACTCGTAGGGGGGGGGGGGGGGGGGGGGGGGTGTTGAACAGTGAACGCCCTTCATAATCTCTCCATAGTAGAGTACCTACCGGCTCGTACACAGGTAGAGTACACGTACTATGAGTACCGTATAGACAGTACCTACTTTCTCTTATTTACCCTGCCATTCATAACGAAACGAATTTATGATCTAAGTAGAGCACCAATTGCAACCAACCCAACCAACGGTCAACCAACCAACCCACGAAACAAACCAACCAACCCAAACCCAAAAGCCAACCGAGCCCAACCAACGAAGCCCAACCCAGCCGAAACTCAACCAAACCAGACCAAACAAGGTCCACGAGTCCCGAAACGTACATACGCCGAGAAAAAAACGTGAACTGTGAACACAACACGCCGAACTTTTCGAACTTTGAACACGGCAAATGGAGGGAGGGAGGGAGGGGAAGAACCACTCTAAACTAAGCCCATCTCTAAGCGAAATCTGATCGGGGATGGGATGATATCGGATGGGATAGGAAGGATGGGGTTGATGGGGTGGTGGTGTGAATGGATTTGATTGAACCACCAGTAGATACCCAGGAGAAACAGCAATTGCAGGGCACTGCACTGTACTGCACTGGCGACGACACACCACACACCACATACGCACACACGCACGCCCTAAATGAGGGTTCGCCGCGCCGCGCTGCGTATCGGTATCGGTATCTACCGGTATCCGGAGGGTCACCGAAGTAACTATATGGTCGCCGCTGCCGCCTGGAACCCTTCCATTTCCCTTCCCTTCCATTTCTGTTTCCTCTACTACCCCTCCCCCCCCCCCCCCCCCCCCCCCGGGCCCCGGCGAAGGTTTGATCATGAGGTGCTGGAAAGAATAGATGGATCGCCGCGTAGGCGTATACTGGACAGAAGTTATTCCAACTCTATACCTAGTAGTTATAGCAGTTATAGGTGTGTGAATGTTTCTAGAGCGTGGGGTGGCCGTCTACTTACTCTATGATAGTACGTGGAGTAAGTGTAACCATGGACATAACTACACTAACTACTCCACAAGTTACAACAGACTAACTACAACAACCCTGCCTGCCACCAGAAAGAAAAGAAAGACCAGAAGGAAAGGAAAGAAAGGAAAAGAAAAGACAAAAGAAGAAGAAAAGAAGAAGAAGAGGTACCCAAGTCAAGTGAGCTGTAAGTACTATAACCACCCACGTCCGTCGTCAAGGCCGCTGGATATGCATCTATAGTATGGGGTAAAGGTTTCCCCATTGCAATAGGAATTGCATGCTTACCTACATAAGCCTCCGCCGACCACTTTCCTTTTGAAGTGGTTTGAACTTTGACAGCGGCACGGAGGAATGCACCAGTCGCGGCCTATGGTGCTCCTTCAATCGGCCGGCGCGGGGGGGTCGGGGGGGATCCAATGGATCGTCATAAAACACCCACACAGCTGTAGAGCAGGGCAGTGTGTAGAGTAGCGATTCTGCATCTCCGTGGGTTTGGTATGTAGAGCATCATGTATCATAGGCGCTGCACGCTAGATTGGCTTCCTTAGCATGTCGACTTGTCCGGGCATGCATGGGTACTCTGCTCTACATACAGTAGAAGATAGGGAAAAGAGAGAGAGTGGGATATCGATGCGACATCGCCGAGCGGGTGGATAGCATACCGTGGGTATGTAGCAAGAAGGCTGGGTTGGTTGACGGTCATGAGCGTCATATGTAACCCCCCCTCGACACCTAACAGAGTACCTATGTCATACGCCCGACGACAACTACGACGACGACTGCAATGCAATGGGGCTTTGCATGCAGATTGCAGCCCCACGAAAGAAACAAGTTCTTGGTAGTGTGTTTGAAGTGCAGTGGCATCTCTGCTATATACCTCTGCCACGGAGCACTCACCACTTGCTTCGAATCTCGATGCAGCACCAACTTCTAACTACCGGGAAGCCGATGGGTTCTTGTGTGGGTGCATAACATAGCATAGGCAGGTAGAGTATGTAGCATAAGGAAGAGTACCAGTCGTTTCCCGCTTCTCCAAGCGGGCCATTTTTCCTTCTTTCCTTCTTTTCTTCTTTTTTCCTTCTTTTCTTTTCCCCTTCTTTCGCGAGTGTTGATTGATGATCGGAGAATTCGATAGACGGACACTCTAGATAGATAGAGGGTGGACCGACCCGAGAAACCGATAACCGAATCAGATTCTGCGATGCCCGCGATGAGAAATATAATGGCTCATGCGGGGGAAGGAAGGCTGCTCGGCGTTAATTAACGATTCGAAACGGCATGCAGAAGCTATCCGGCCTTCCTTCCTTCCAGCCATCCAGCCAGCAAGCAATCCAACCGTGGCATACTTATCCGAGATGTTCTTTCCTGCACGCCTCGCAGACGGTATGTAAGTAATTACGCAGCGCTACTACTATCCTCATCCACCTCCCCCGTGGTCGAATTCCCCACAACTTGCAGCTGCTTCTCCGAGCGGCCGCCGCCGTCACCGTCGCCGTCGGTTCTTGAGGATGTTTTAGGTCATTTATTATTTTATTTTTAAAAAGAAAAGAAAAATGGATACACGCAGACAGCAGAAAGCTGCTCCACCACTTTGGGTAGCTTAATGCGAGAGCAGAATTAGTCTGTATGTACTCTATACCGACGTCGAACCATTGTGAGAGCATGCACATGTGAAGACTTGTGTGTGTACTACGCCCATGTCTGATGTCCGGGGTTGATCCACTAACTAATCGGCTGCGGATGGGACGTACTTATGTACGTGCCATCGCTGTTCCGGCAAAGCGTCGAGGTTGTACTGGTATGTAGACTACCTAAATAAGTACTATTTACACTCTAGAGTCGTTATGGTCCACGGAGGCCGGCCGGCGATGTTACGGATCTGCTCTCAACTGTCTGCTGGCGAACGAGCAGGATACGGTACGGTACGATAACTACCCTGGCGGACGAAAGGCGACCCTTCTTCCCTTCCCCTTCCCCTTCCCCTTCTTCTTTCCCTTCTTCTTCTTCCCCTTCTACTTTTTTCCCCTTCTACTTCTTCCCCTTGTCACCCTGCCGACAGCTTACTTTGCCTTGCACCTGCATGGCGCCCGCATGTTGGCTGCCACTGCCACTGCGCGCTGCGCTGCACAAGTTTTCTGGCACCAACGTTCGCAAGTTTTCTTCATGATGAGAAGTGCACGTGTGTGTGAGTGCATCGATATCGTAAAGGGCGATTCGAGCCGCCGTTCTCGTGGGAGACGAGAGACACCTTGGTGGATGGGTGCATAGCGGGTGTGCTGCTCCGGCTTTCTGCTATTCCTCCCCCCCGTGGCAGCCTGGCCTCGTGACTCCGGGCCAGCCTACACGAGCAAGTTAGTAGAGTACTTGCCTACTCTACTCTACTACTATAGAAACGTCCTCACGAGCCGAGAATGTGGGGAAGGCGCCAGTGTGGGGAAGGGTTTACTCTATGCTAGAGCCTGGTGTTGGTGGTCTGGTGGTGGTTACGGCCAGCCGAAGCGAGACAACAGCCGCCGCCCTCCCTCCCTCCCTCCCTCCGTGTGCTACATATCATAGATAGCTCAAACTTTATCTCGCAGACGTAGAACGGAAAATCTCTCGAAGTTTCGTTCAACCTCAATCCAGTGTCACCTCACCAACCCTCCCCCCTTCCAAGCTCCCCCCTTCCAAGTTTCCAACCCTTCCAAGTCCCCCCTCCACCCCTTCCCCCCACCCCGACCACCACCCCCGACCACGCACCACCACCAACGGATAGGTACCTGACAACCCCCCCTTCGCTACCATCCGGTAGCGGGTCCGGTACTCTAGAGTCTACTCTAGCGGGTACATAGATAGCGGTACCGCGCCCGTCATCGATCTCGGTCTCTCGGAACTGCACTCATTGGACCGATGCAGCAGCCTTGCATCGGATGGAACTAACTAGTTTATGCAGCAACGTTAAGCAATTGCAAGCCTTCTCTCTCCATGGCATGTCCAGCCTTTCGCTCTAGTACATACGGTACCTAGAGTACTCTACTCTACTCGATGCGAACCGGCATGATGGCATGTTGAGTAGAGTATGGAGATACTCTAGAGTACTTACTACTACATATCTATGGCATACTATGCCTGCCAGCTGCACGTTACAACGACTACCTAGGAGACCACACCTCGGTCGCCTACATACTACACATACATCCTACCCACTCAAGCCACTTTACTAATCGGAATCCAACCTAAGGAATGTAGGTACTCTACCCTACGTGGTACTCTGGCTGAGCCACTGCTAACTTCTTGTAGGCACCTTTACTACTAGTGATAATTGGCCATGGCTATCGGAGCTGTCGCAGTGGCTATCGGCCTGTAAGGAATGGGCAACGAATCACGATCTGCAAGACACGAATCACCTATGTGCCTGCCTACCCTTCCACCCAGCATCATCCGGCATCATCCAGCATCATCGAGCGGCAGAACCTTGGAAGCTGCCGGTGCGGCTGTCGCTGTCCGGGAGAGAACGCTACGAGAGGCAAGGCTCCTCGTCTTGCCGCTGCACGCAGTCGTGACGGATCGGCTTGTCCGCTTTGCTTGGTTCGGCTATTCGAGCCCCCCCTCCCCTCCCCGCTGCCGAATTGAGTTTCAACCCGTCGGCTGTTTTTTCTTTTCTTTTCGATGGAGAGTTTGACGTACATACCTACGTGGGTTTGACATGTACGGCACGCTACATTGCATTGCCTGCCTGCCTGTCTATTTGTCTGCCTGTCGACACATGCCGACCTCAGGCCCCCCCTTCCCATTGATTGGAGGAAGTAACCTGCCGGCCCACAGCCGCCGCCAAGTTGGCTCCCGCATCCATCCAGTCAAGTCGAGTTGCACGCAGCCGACCGTAGTGTGACAACACCGAGGATCCTTCGCAGCAGCGGTGAATGGGGGCGGCGAGAATCAGATGTCCGGGTATCGGTGTTGAAACAACAGGCCGTGGGCGAGACATGTTTCGGTCGTTATCGGTGCCCCCCGTCCTACAGAGGCAACTTGTACGAAAATCATATCCAAGACACCGCAGTGCAGCCAGCCAGCCAGCCGATGACCCTTACCATTGGTGGTGGTGCTCGAAAGTTCCTATGCTGAGGGATACAACCCGTCATGCCATCGTGATCACAATCAATACCTACAGTACGTACGTACAGTGGAGTCTCTCTCGCTCAGGTATGTAGGCTATAGCTAGCTAGCCAACAAGCTGTCTGCCGGAAAACATTGGTCGCATGCGACTTCTGTTTTGCATCGTATTTGCGAGGGCAAGCAAGAAAAAAAAAAGTCACGATGTGCTGTCTGGTTGGCTGGTGTACTTTACTCGTACCCGGTCTGGTCATCATGTAATGTACGTGCTTCCCCCACCCCACCCATCCCCCACTCACCCTTTCCTCTGACGTGTACAACACAGCCGCGTAGTTTCCATCATAAAGGTACATACAGTACACAGCAATGCAACACTAGGAAAGACGGCACGTACCGCCAGATCCGGATCCGCACCACGTTTTTGGGCTTAAGCAGTTTTTTTTCTTTCTTCTTTGGCGGGCAGATAGAGTGGAGTACTGACTTAGTTACCGTGGAGTGGAGTATAGGCGAGCAGCTTCGACGTCTCTCGTGGGCCTAGTTAGGGTACTGGTACATACA